TTCCTTCCTTCCTTCCTCCCTCCCTCCCTCCCTCCCTCTCTCCCTTCCCTTCCCTCCCTTCCCTTCCCTCCCTTCCCTTTCCTCCTCTCTCTCTCTTCTTTTTTTCTTCTCTTCCTCCCTTTCCTGTCCTGTCTTGTTCCATCCCTCCCTTTTTTGGTACATGGTCTTGCTTAGTTGCCCAGATTGGCCTCAAACCTGTCATTCTCTAACCCAGCTTGTTGAGTCCCAGCATTATAGATACACACTACCATACTGGGCTAGCTACATTCTATTTTGTATTGCCTGGGTAGCCACTGGTCACATCCTACATGCGGCCGACTATTGAATATTTGAAATGTGATGAAGAATTGAATTTTCAGTTAATTTGAATTTAAACGGTAGCACATGCAACTGGTGGCTGCTACGTGAGATGACGTAGTTCTAGGGCAGCCCCAGATGGTTTCTAGCTACTCCTTTCTGGAAATCTTATGCTCCTGGCTTTGAGACCACTGTTCATTTCCTGGTTCTGTTAGTGCCTCTTTATCTCCTAACTATTTCTGCTCACTGACAACAGTCTGTGCTCAGCCCTCTCTTCTTCCTCCTGCACTTTCTTCTTTAGGGCAGACAGCCCCTGGGCTCCAACCCTGATCTGTGTAGAAATGGCACCTAGTGCCTTTTCTAGCCCATCCTCTCTCTGGCTTCAGAGCTGTTTCTAACCTTAGCCTGGCAGTATCCTTTGGGCATTCTGTAGTGACACAAGCACACACCATTATTCCTTCCCCTCCTCCTCTACATCACTCGGCCTTTTCTTCTAAGGATGACTGGTTTTCTTCTTCCCTTTGCCGTAACTCTCTCTCTGTTGACCACCCCTCCTTAACCATTGTAGAGTTTGGGATTCCTCTTGTACAGTTGTCTTGTTTTCATTCTCGTGGGTTCTATCTCTTTTTATGATTATAAAAGTAGAAAAATACTTACTTTTGAAAAAATTTACTAACATATCAAAAATGCCAAAAAAAGAAAATAAAAGAAAAAGAAAGAAAGAAAGGAAGGAAGGAAGACAGAAAGAGAAAACAAAAGGAAATTTCTTAGTGAGCTTGACCTCCTAGAGGCCAGTATTGTGTTTCCGGCCTGTGACTTGCCACACATGACCTCTCTTACCCTCGTGCTTGGATTACTGTGGCTGCAAATGCTCAGTGGCTCCCCACACTAATCCTATTTATTTATTTATCTAATCCACTGCTATTTCCTAAGGCATGGTCCTCATCCTGTCATTCTTCTGTTCCGCTCATAAATCTCCAGAGGCACCTAGTTGTCTGCTGAATTAAATTTGTCTCCACTGATAGGACACCACACCAAATCAATCTTTACTTTCCTCAGGGTGTGGGAGAAGAGCTCACTGAAGAAATTATGGCTGTGAACAGACACCCGCTTAGTTTGGTTTGAATTTATTCAGCATTATAATTTCTGTTTTTTTTCTAGAAAATAAAACTCTAAAGTTATTATATTTTAGGTCATGTTTGCTGACATTATTAGACTAGACTTCACTTATTTTTGAAACATATGTTCTTCCTGTTCCATTTACTGAGATAATTGCTATTATAATTCTGCACATATTTTCTAACATAGCCTAAGACCCCCACAAGGTTAAGAATTTCCCATAAGTCCCTGGAGAAAACTGATCCATTTTTCTCCATTGATGAAAACTATAATTTTCTTTGTCTAGGAAAATCAGTACTTATAAGCACCCCTACTTATGCCCTCTTAAACCTAGTCTGGGGATCAAATTCAGGCACTCATGTACCATAGGGAAGTAGCATATGTTGTATACCAGCTTCAACAGAGTCTTGACATGTTGATTCAATTAAAAATGAGCCAGTAGGGCCTAGAGAGATGGCTCAGCAGTTAAGAGTGTGTACTGCTCTTGCAGAGGATCAGAGTTAGGGTCTCAGCATCCATATTTGGCAGTTCAACCATTCCCTGTAACTCCAGTTTGGGGAAATCCAATGCCCTCTTTTGTTCTCTGCAGATATATATATATATATATATATATATATATATATATATATATATATATATATGTGGTGCATCTACGAACAAGTAGGCACACATACACATAATTAAAAATAAATAAAATTGAAAACAAGAGAATTATTTAATTATTGCTTATTTTATGTCTGTAGGAAGTGGGTCCCTCTATGGGAACTCTTGGAATTTGGGGTCTTTCATGGACAGCGACTCCTATGTTGTCTGGGTCCTGGGGACTGAGAACCCTTTCGGGTTCCCTTGCATTTGACAGAGAACACAGTTCACTGGCTCCAAAGCCAGGCATTACTTCTTTTAGGCTGTGGTCTCCTAAGGGTTTGGGAGAGATTGCAGAAGAGGAAGAGCAGGAGGAAGCAGAGGAGGAAGAGGGAGGATGACTTTTGTCAAATTTAGTTTGGTGGCTGAAATTTATTTTTGTGGTCATTGAACACAGATTTAGTCTTTAACACACTAAGTTCTCAGCTCTGTCTTATTTATCTTTTAGTAGCTTCCAATTGCTTAGTGGTAAGCAATGAATAAATGGTTGCTATTATTAGAACGCTGATGAAACAGAGAGCTTCCACAAACACATTCTCCACTTCTGCCTTTTCTCATCTTTAAGACTGAGATCCATCTTCCATCCACTGCCTGCTGGATGCTGTACACATTTGCACCTTTGTCTGGTGGTGTGGGTTCTGCCAGACACGCCTTTCCACTTTCTTCTCCACCTATTAAAATCCTATTTACACATTTAGGACTGGACTAATTCCATATGAGATGGCTCCTGGCTGGAGCTCATTGCCTCTTTTTTCTGCTTTGTTTTTCTGTTCCCCACTCTGATAGTATGCTATTTGGTTGTTTACTTGGTTCAAATCTCTTTCTCAAATTTGGTGGAAACTGTTGAAGACTTTTTACGATGTTGTCTCTGGCTGTTGTAGAGCTATGCATGTACCATGCACACAATTCGGATGCATATGGCTCAAGTAGAGGTGAGATTCCTGAGTCATTCATTCTTCACTGACCTTCTGGAACTGTAGAGTGAGTACTATAGACCTGTCCACATGCTCAGAGGTCCCATGAGGTCCCAGAGATCTCATTGGCATTGAGCTGTGAGGTTCAAGCCATCATCGCAGACTGGGGCTTAAGGTGTACAGTTAACTTTCATGGTACTGTATCAGGTTGCAGTCCTGTTTTCAGAGAGCTCCAGGGTTTATAATGATGATTCATTCAAAGAGAAGCTTTTATCATAAGATAGAGGTCTACACTGTCTTCAAGCCGCAAAGATGAAATCAAGGGAAGAGAAGGATACTTACTCAGGTGATAGCATTCACTTTTGTGAGGCAGGAGCTGTGAAGCAACAGGCTGCTCAGTGTCTCTGTGCCTCAGTTTCTTTATCTGTCATGTAGGAAGGATATCATGAGGATTGAGTTTATGCATAAAAAGTGTTTAGGATATCTATCATCCATCCATCATCTATGTATTTATGTGTGTATGTATGTCTCTATTACCTATCTATCATCAATCATTTATCCGTTATTATTTATGCTCAAAATATTCATTATACTTTACACACTGATTTAGCGTTGTTTCATGAGTAATTTTGGTGATGCTGCCAATACCATACAGATATAAACCCTCAAGTCCACGCAAGCCACTTTTCATCCCAGGGTGATGAAAGAAGTTGAACAGTCCTAACTCAGTTGCATGCAATCCATCCTCATGCCTTACTGTAACCTGCCATTCCAGGTCTGAACAGTGTAATAATAGACTTAGTTCACCCCCATAATGGACTGTAGGGAATGAAAGTATGTATGAATGGAAAGGAACCAACACTTTCCTTTGCTTCTGCCATGTCACAGCTCTGGGGCTGGGGTGAGGTGGGGTGGGGGCTGACAATTGCGGTTCCATGGTTATTCTAAGACAGTTACATCAACGGAGCTTGTCTGACTCTCTCACATTTCAAAGGGACAGGTGTCCATAGAGACTCCTTCTCCTTTAATGATTTTGACATTGTCACATCACACCCAAGTGCAAAACGATGACAATACCTCTTTGCCTCAGCTGTCAAAACTACCATGTAGGGACACATTGCAGTTGAGAAGAGAGAATGGCCTCTTTATGGTGACTGGCTTGGAATTATAAATATTTTCATTTCTCCCGTAGGAGATGGCTCGTGGAAGAGAGGAGACAAACACGACTTTGAAGCTAAGCAAGCCTACTCATCCCTGCAAACAGTCACCCTACTGAGGACCGTGAAACCTGAGTTTGAGAAGTTTTCCATGGAGGTGAAAAGTTCTGTTGAGAAACAAGGACTCAATGAGGAGGATTACGTAAGTGCTTGATTATGAGCCTCGCCCTTCAGCATCCTGCAAACAAGCTTCTAATTAAACCAGAGGTGACAAAGTATCCCATTCTGAGCCATTCAAAAATTCCGAGTTCAAGTCTGAATGCTGCTGTTGCCTTCTCTGTGTGTTTCTTTCCTGGCCACTCCCCCCCACCCCCCCCCCCCCCCCCCCCCCCCTCCCATCATCATTGCTGTCACTCACTTACACTTCTTTGCA